ACCACCTTGCCCCATGTACTTTGTGCACCAGACACTCTGCCCTTCTTCCAGGCCCTTGACTGTTCCAGGCTCTCTCTCAGTTCAGGCTATTTGCATGAGCTCTTACTCTGCTTGGATGACTCTTCATCAGCTTACACATCATTTCCTCCAGAAAACCCTCCTCAATGCAGCCCCTATCATACACTATCCCTGTACTCACCACAGTTTGCACCCCTGTGCAATGTCTGTGAGCTCCCAGAAAGAGGAACTGGACTCGTTTGCTGATATACCCCCGGGGCCCGGCACACAACTGCTAAGTAAATGACTGAACACCATAGCACTAGAGCATAGAAGAATTGCCCAGGCCTAGAACAGTGAATGACTCGGGTGTCCAGCTCTTGTCACATGATGGTGCAAGACAATGGACATGGGGATGAACCAGGAGTCCAAAGAGCTCTGACAGAAACTCACTCTGTGGCCCCATCTTCTCCTCTCTGTGGGTCCCGACTTCCACATCTATAAAATGGGAGCCTTGGGCAATAGCAGTGGTGTTTGATGAAGATTTTTTACAGGTACCACAAACCCTTTCTTCAAATAAAATACTGAGAACACAGTATAGTTATGAGAAGTTAAAGCAGTGTCTGGTGGAAGCCATGGGAGGGCCTACAGCTCCCCAGAGTCCCCTTGGTGCTGACAGCAACTCCTCAGACACTTTCAAGGATTCCCTCTCTGCCAGACACCAGGTGAAAATCACTCAGCTAGATTATCTCTAAGAGCCCTCTCAGGCAGTAATTTTGTCCTCAGAAAGACTTAGCAGTGGTCCCCAAATTTATACCTGTTACCATGGAAACCACCTTTTCATATCCTCTTCATAAGAAAATGTTTTATCCCCTGTGATAGTTGATTTCTGGGGTGTCTGCCTAGCCCACATACTAAAGATGCTCCCTTTCTCTAGGACCTAGCCCTCTCTCCTTTCAGAGAGGAGACCACCAGGTGTATATAGTGGACCCTACCACCAGGTGTATATAGTGGACCCTACCCACACTCATCTTACCTGACTGGACAAGGGTGCCAACCTGACCCTAGCTAGGACAATCAGGTTCTCTCACTGACATGTTGGAATAGGGACCTGGAGACTTCGTCTCTCGGCGGAGGTAGAACCATAATGTATAAATGAATATGACCACATTCCCTAACTAAGAAGATGAATGAAAAGAGAAAGTGGGCCTATAGAGAGAATAGGAGGAATAATGCACATTCAGAGAAAGCAGCCAGAGTTCTGTTAACATCCAAGAGAGTAGCCCTAGGCCCCCGGGCCAGCAGCACACTGCCCTCAGGCTCCTGAGAGGCTTTATCCATCTGCTGCCCTGTTAGTAGGTTCCAACACCTTCTGCTACTTCCAACCAAAGACAGTCCCGGAGATCACCTCTCCATGAAGGGATTAACCCTGATAACAGATACGGTGGCTCCTGGGAGGGAGGGCCAGCTGACCCAGGACAGAGGTCATGAGGAAAGGCTGAGAGTCAAGCTCACCTCGGCCAGGCTGGTGTTCCGCCTCCGCAGGCAGAGGCAGGCCGCTGTGGCCAAAGCCTCCGCAAAGTCTTCCGGCAGCCTCCCTGCTGTCTTCTCCAGGTATTTTTGGCAGATCTCCTTGGCCATCACTTTCTCCGTGCCCATCTTCCTGGAGCAAGGAATTTCTCGAAGGAGTAAATCCTTCTGTGGGGAAAACAGCAAAAATGCCCCTGAGCAAGCTGCAGAGGTGTGGCATCCAAGCACAGCTGCCCCACCCACCTCCATGACTGCACCAGACCTGCAAAAACTTCTCAGAAAACCAACAGTGCAAGGACTGTTGCACTGTTTTAAAATCAGTGCAAGGACTTGGCTAGTGTGGCTCTGTCAACTAAATGCCAGCCAGCAAACCAAAGGGTTGTGGGTTCAACTCCCAGTCAGGGCACATGCCTGGGTTGCAGGCTGGTCCTGGTTCAGGACATATGAGAGGGAACTGATCAGTGTTTCTCTCCCTTTCTTTCTCTTCCCTTCCCCTCGCTCTGAAAATAAATAAATAAAATATTTTTTTAAAATGCAAGGATCCCAGAAACAAGCAAAACAGCCAAGAACTAAAGAATTGCTAAATTCCCTACATGCACAGGGCATTCCACAGTACACTAAAAAACATTGTAAGTACAGTGGCTTAATCTTTCTTGGTAGGCCTCAGTTGATTCCTCAGAAAAATGGGGAAATAGGACTAACAAAAAGATTAAATGACTGAATGGATCTAAAGCATAAAGTGTAATACTTGACACAAAGTAAACATTCAATAGTCTATTAGTGATACTAATTAATAGTAATAATATCACTTACACTACATGCTAAGCAATTACATTAATAATTTAACCTTACTAACAATTACAGGGGCAATTTCTTACAATATGAAGCAAACATTCTAGAAGGTAGGATGCTCACCCACGAGGGTAGAAATATTGCCTTACTCACCTTTGTACTCCCAGCACCAAGAACAGCGCCTGGCACACAGTAAGTACCTCCCAAATGTTTTCACCAAATTGTACCTACTAACTTATTCTTCGGCTACGTTTCATCTTTTATGTAACTTTATTGTTTTTAATAGAAAATATTCATTAAATGTAAAAATAAATTAATTTTGTTGTCTTAGACAGCTTTTCATTCAAATACATTTATAGTTTAGAGAAAAAGATCATCAGAGATTATTAGACATGGGTTGTAATAATTTGGGTCAAAAACAAAACACTCCCCACTCTGCCTCAATTTTCCTATCCAGAAAAGAGGTTGTCTGAGGATCCAATAATACATAAATGCCTGACCATGTTAGGAATTGAATGCCTGGGGATTAAAAACCCCTGGCTGGCCTTGGCTGTGGAGCTCAGTTGGTTAGAGCATTGTCTGGATACGCCAAGGTTGACAGTTTGATTCCCGGTCAGGGCACATATAAAAATAAACCAATGAATGCATAAATAAGTGGAACGACAAATCGGGCTGAGACGGCTTGCCTCCTTGCACAATCACATCAAAATTACAACTAAACTATAGAACCACCATCACTCAGAACCATCAGAAACCAAGTTAAATGGAAGTCCAACAACTATGGAATTAAAGAAACCACAGCCATCCAGACTGGTAGGCGGGGCAGAGATGCAGAGCAGGCTGGCCCCACATCTACATGCAGTCAATGAAAATTTAGGAGGGGTATCACGGGAGGAGGGGAATGCCTGAGGGACTGGGGTGTGCTAGATGGGCGGGGGACAAAGGTGAAAATATTGGGACAACTGTAATAGCATAATCAACAAAATAGAATTTAAATTTTTTCAATTAAAAAAACAAATCTATCTCTCCCTTTCTCTCTCAAATCAATTAAAATAAATCAAATCATTTAAAAAATAAGAACCTGACAGGTTTTTAAATACCCTTTTCATAATTCTCTCGTGTGAGATCTGCCTTTTAAATGTTTATCTCTTTAAATATTACAAGGGTGTTTGAAGTTGATAAATCAATAAATAAAAGAAGCATATTGTTTACAGATATGGAGGTGACCACCCTCTGAAATGAAATCAGAAACTGTCAAAATGATTGGCCTGAAAGAACAATAGATGGGGGTGCTTATCATTTGACAGCCCTGATGACGTTATGGGTCTCACCTAGCAATTGTCATCAACACAAACTGAGAACACTCAGTGGTGGGGTTATGGGGGATCTTAGTAATGGAGGAAATCGCCAAGTCCACCCAAATCCACTGATGAAGCTTAGCACTGAAAGTAGGACAATGTGGTGCATGCCTCGTGTTGTGATGCTAAGAAGTACACGACATCATTTAGGAAGCAGCACTAACCCTGAATCTAGCCAAGTCTCTGGAGGTGACTGCCTATATATGGGAAACATGAGGAACAAAGAAACAAGAAACCACAGGGACATAAGCACCCAAATCTGGGCATGAAAAAGTCTATCAGGCAAATGACCCACTTCCTGCAGAAATGAAATGATATACAGAGAGTAAAGGGGGGACGGGTGTGGCTGGAGAATAAAAATGTCTTAAGATATGTAACCAAATCAAATATGGACCTTATTTGTATCCCATTTTAAACAAACCAACTTTTTTAAAATATTTATTTATTTATTTATCTTTAGAGGGGAAGGAGAGAAACATCAATGTATGGTTGCCTCTAGTGCATCCCCTGCTGGGAACCGGCCTGCAGGAAACTGGCTTGCAACCCAGGCAATGTGCCCCGACTGGGAACTGAACCGCGATCCTCTGGTTCACAGACCTGTGCTCAATCCACTGAGCTACACCAGCCAGGGCTAAACAAACCAACTTTTAAAAAGCAATTTTTTAGATGATTTACCCACTCTAAAAATGAAATGGATATTAAATAACATTAAAAATTTAAAAAACTATTGTATGGGTGACATAACATAGTACTTGGATTTAAAGTACACACACACAAAGTTTTAGTGGTGCAAAGCAGTAAGAAAAACATGATATTAATAATTGATGGGCTAGATAAATGAATATTCCTAATATTCTCTACTTTTGTGTATGTTTGAAATTGTCCATAATACACGGGGCTTTTAAGAAGCAGCCATTCCTACCTAGAGAGTATTATACTAAGTGAAGTAAGTCAGATAAAGACAAATACCACATGATTTCACGTACATGTAAAATTAAAGAACGGTATAAATAAATAAACAAAACAGAAACAGACTCATAGGTACAGAGAACAGACTGATGGTTGCCAGAGGGGAAGGGTTGGGGGGGCTGGGAGAAAAAGGTGAAGGGATTGAGAAGTGCAGATTCATAGTTACGAAACAGTCCCAGGGATGTAAAGCACAGCGTAGGGAATATAGTCAATAATACTGTAGTAACTATGTGTGGTGCCAGGTGGGTACTGGAAATATCAGGGGAACACTCTGCAAAATATATGATTGTCTAACCAATATGCTATACATCTGAAACTAATACATAATAATAATATGGAATATAAAAATATATATATACTGCACAGGGACTTGAACCCTGGACCCTCAGATTAAAAGTTTGATGCTCTACCAACTAAGCTACCCAGGCTCTCAAAAAATATATATATACCTTTAAATAAAACTTTATTTATTTATTTTTAGAGACAGCGAAAAGGAGGGAAAAAGAGAGGGTAAGAAACATTGATAGGCCAGAGAGAAACATCAATCAGTTCCCAACTGGGGACGGGCCTGCAACTCAGGCACGTGCCCTGACTGGCAATCAAACCAGGGACCCTTCACTTTGTGGGAGGGCACCCAACCAAATGAGGCACACAGGTCAGGGCAAAATATATATACTTTTAATTAAATTTTAAAATAAGAAGGAAACCTAAAAAAAAAGAAAAGAAAGAAAAAAGAGACCATCTCTGAAATCCAACAAGTCAGGGCAGGGAAGAGAGAGGCATGGAGTCACTGCCCGGTGCTGTCAGATTTTCTAAGACAAGTATGCAGATTATTGGAATTTATAAAGTTAATTAAACAGAAATTATTATTACAAAAGCAACATTATTATTACTAACTTTTGGGGGGGGTTGGGGTTTTTTATTTTAATTTTTTTTTTTTTTAGAGAGAGGGGAAGGGAGGGAGAAAGAAAGGGAAACATCAAAGTGTGGTTGCCTCTCATGAGCCCCCTTCTGAGGACCTGGCCCACAACCCAGGCATGTGCCCTGACTGGGAAGTGAACCAACAACCCTTTGGTTTGCAGGCCGGCACTCAATCCACTGAGCCACACCAGTAAGGGCTATTATTACTAACTTTTTTGTTAAAAATTAAAATATAACTTATTAAAGTTTTAGGACAAGAGTTTACTTTTTCCCTCGTGTCAACGCTCCAATCTGCTAATAGTTTGGATTACATTATTCTAGACTTTCCCCTACAAAAGTCTATAGCTACAATCATTTTAGTTATTATAATAGCAAGCAATCTCCTAAGAGCTGTAAAAATAAAATTTATAATAATAGCTACCACATACATGTTTATTATGTTCTTCATCACTCTTCTTTAGCTACTTCACATATTTAACCTTCACTAAATCCTATCAGATAGATACAATTATCCCCAATTTACAAGTAGCAAAATAAAAGATGCATTTTTATTCATTCATCTATTATCAAAGATGGTATTAAATCATACACTGTTCTGAACATGCCTTTTACACTTGGAGATACTTTCCTCTCAGAACATATATATGTGTTCCTCATTATTTTTTTTTATTTTATTGATTTGAGAGAGAGAGAAACATTGATTTGCTGTTCCATTTACTGATGCATTCAGTGGTTGCTTCTTATATGTGCCCTGACTGGGGATCAAACCCACAACCTTCACATATCAGGATAGCACTCTAACCAACTGAGCTATCTGGTCAGAACTTCTCATTATTTTTAAAATAAGAATGTTTATGTCAGCTTTATTCACAATTGCTGAAACCTGGAAGTAACACAGATGTCCATCAACTAGTGAGTAGATAGATAAATAAATGGTCATATACCCACATAACAGAATACTGCTCAGAAATAAAAGGAACGAACCACTGATATATGTAACAACGTGGGTGAATCTCAAAAGCACCCCACCAAGTGAAAGAAGCCAAAATTATAGCTTCACATTCTGTGATTCCATGTATATGACACTGAAGAAAATATAGAACTATATGGACAGAGATTAAAACAGGAGTTGCCGGGGGCTGGAAATGGCAGAGGGGACTGACTCTAAAGGGACCAGACAGAAGTTTCTGGAAGGATGGAAATATTCTATATCTTGATCATGGTGGTAGTTACATAACTATCTACATTTATCAAAACTCACACCATTCTGCGCACCTCGAAAGTGTGAGTTATACCTCAGACAAATGAATGCATATGACCAGAGACCCCCACACAAAGCTACCTAGCAGCTTTATTTGTAATGGTCAAAATCTGAAAATAGGCCAAATGCCTATCAATAGGTAAATGGATAAACAGTGGCAGATCCATGCAATGGAACACTGCTCAGTGACAAGACAAGAGCCACTGACACAAAAAGCGTGGCTGTATCTCAGAGTATCTCTGTTGAGTGGGAAAAGTCAGCCAGCAGAAGAGCACACCCTGCATGACCTCATTTATGTGAGCCTTCAGAGAGTGGAAGCTTTTGTGCAGCGACAGGAAGCGCATCGGTGGCGGCAGGGGCTGGCAGAGACGGGGAGTGGGGTGAGAGGAGGAGGATGGAGGGGTTGTGGCCATGTTCATTATCTTGATTTGGTGATGAGGTCACAGATATACACATATGTCAAAATGTATCATATGTTTTATCCTCATTATTTACAAATATTTATAAACTTACATGCATAAAGCTATTTATAAATAACTTCATGTTATTCCACTGTGGGAATGATTATCTCATAATTACTTTAACCACCTCCCAATTGAAAGATACTTTATTTGTTTGCAGCACTTCACTATCATAAATAAGGCTACAAGAACCCTTGTCCATCTGTCTTTCCTCACTTGTGTGTGTTTCCCTAGTCTCTACTGAACTGAAACTGCTGCATCAGAGTGTACACACATTTTAAACTTGGGTGGAAACCACCCAATTCCCTCTGAAAACACAAACATGAAAACATCCCTCCGTGTTCATGAACACTGCCCCGAGCACAGCGGAGAGGCCCCGCCGCCAGGGCCACACGAGGCACGATCAGCTTTCAGCTCTCACGGGAATCTTGATGACATGCACAATCTTAACTGTGCATGTGCAACAACAGGAAATGATGAGAGACTACATTTGGATCTAGAAGAAGAAGAAAAAAACCTAGATTTTTGAATAAATGCTCTCCTTCGCATTTTTATAAACCATTAACAAAAAGAATCTTCTAGCAAATTTCACACAAATGGCTTGAAACCCTCCTTCTCCTGCCACGGTCACCCAGGGAACCCCAGAGCACTGCTGAGGGTGCCTCTCGAGAAAGCTGGCAGGAGACAGGAACTACTCCAAGCAACTCGCACTGACCACTTTGCAGTATCTGGAGCTCAGTGCCCAAAAGGACCAGAGCTCAGGGAGTTCAGCAGAGGAACAAGCTGTGACTTTCTGTGCTTGGGGGAGGCCCTCAGCTCTCCACCCCAAAGCTCAGGAAATGCTTTTGGGGCCTAGTCACAAAAAAGCCAGCTGCTCCAATGGCTTCAATATCAAGTCAGAAAAGGGGCTCCCCCCTCAAAGTGATGAAGAGGACCAGAGCTTGCACAGAATTTGAAACTCTGCCAAAGACATGGGTTCAAATCCCAGTTTGACTACTAATCTCCCTGAGGAGCATGAGACAAAGTCTCTTCACCTCGGCCGCAGTTTCCTCATCTGTAAAATGGGGGTGATGATACTACTGAATTCATATGGTTGGACTGCCATGAGAATTACACAGTCAGGGGAGTGTCATGGTTGAGAACTCAAGATCTAAAATCAAGAAGACTTGACTCAGAACTTCAGCTCTGAAACTTAGTATAACTGAGCTTTCAGGCAAATCTCAGGGCCCGCTTTCCTTACCTATAGATGAACACGGTGCCTCTATCAATCTCACTGGGACTCTGAGGTGATTGAGAAAGCTAATTTATAGGAAGTGCCAAACAGAGTCAAGCTGTGTTGTTATATTTTCGAAATCACACTATATTATACATATGACAGTTCTCTGAAGGTACCAAATATGGAAGTTATTGAATTTATTATAGAAACCTATTTAAAAGGGCTGGAATTAACTTTTACCAATTTGAGGACAAACCCTATTTGATTGCCTAATGTGCAGAGAGAAGAAACGAGTTTTCCCCAAACATTCTAAATCCTATTATCATGAAAAAGTAATTATTGGTGGGCAGGTGGGGGTGGGAGATTAAAGCTCCTTTGCACAGATGCAAATCAAACCCTGGACGGAGGCCTCCCTCAGTAGCACCTGTAAAATGGACACCCTTCTGACCCCTCATAGCTGTGAGGCCCAAATGCACCACCCAGGCAGAAGTAACTGGTTCCCTTACCAGGAAAACTGGGCTTCGGTTGTTGTCCGCCGCAGGGATGCCAGTGAGGATCTCAGCTAACACCTGGAGAGAATGTGGAATTAGCACAGTTTGAACACCCATGCACAAGGTCAGGCAGAATTCTGGCCAAGAGAGAGGCTTCTTCTTTCTTCTTTTTTTAAGATTTGATTTATTTATTTTTAGACAGAGAAGAAGAGAGGGAAAAAGAGAGGGAGAGAAGCATCAATGTGTGGTTGCCTCTCAGGTGCCCCCTACTGGAGACCTGGCCTGCAACCCAGGCATGTGCCTTGACTAATTGAACCAGCAACCCTTTGGTTCACAGGCTGGCACTCAATCCACCTAGCCGCACCAGTCAGGGCAAGCAGCTTCTTCTTGATAACGAAGTCTGAGCTCCATGCTCTGACATTTCCCAGCACAGACTTAGGCCCAAAATCTGAACATGAAGAATACCATACTTTCCTCCAACTAAACATGCCTCCCAGCTGCTTGTGGAAGGTTTGACCTAATTGATAGCAAGGCAGGGAGGATGGAAACCAAATGTGTGTGTATTACCATCAATTTTATAAAATATGTATATATGAGCCCTGGCTGGTATAGCTCAGCGGACTGAGCGCACGCCTGCCAACCAGACTATTACAGTTTGATTTCCAGTCAGGGCACATGCCTGGGTTGCAGGCCAGTTCCCAGCAGGGGATGCACGAGAGGCAACCATACATTGATATTTCTCTCCTGTCCTTCCCTTCCACTGTAAAGATAAATAAATAAAATAAAATAAATGTATATATGCATTTATATGTATTATATAAACTACATGCATATATGTGCATATATACATACAATGTGGGGCAAAAGTAGGTTCACAGCTGTGAGTACAAAACACAGTTTATTGTTGTATTATTATTTATTAATTATTGCATTATTTTCCACATGAACAACTGTAAAGCAACTTTTGCCCCACCCTGTATAATACACACACATTATATACACACATATACCTATACCTATAAACATACATATATACATACACACACACTATATTTTAAAGATAATTTCATTTAAAAGC